GCAGCTCCGTCCTGCAGGGGTTGGGAAGGATGGTGGGGTCTGGACAGTGATGGTCACTGTGCCTGGCACACAGTAAGAGCTCAGGGAATGCCAGCTGCTGGGACCATGCTGCCCGGGCCAGGGCACCTGGCCCCACTGGACCCCTGCAGGCGGTCCTCACACGGCACAGAGGTGTGTCTTCTCCCATCCAGAGACCCGATTGTCTGCCATCGAGAGGACCCACAAAGGAGGGTGGAATGTGGGCAGGCACCAGGCCCAACAGGCATTGCCCACATGGCCACCCAGTCTTGAGACCAGGCGTGGCTCAGCTCCATGGAGGGCAGGGGGCTGCCAGGTGACAGGTCTTGGGGGGCAGGAGCTCCTGGGGGCACCGACCCTCCATCACCACCTGCCCCTGTGGGCCCTGCACCCATCTTGCCCCGCCATCCACTCTGCTCACCCTCCTGGTTGCTCATCCCACCCCCCCACAGCCTACAGGTGCAGAGACCTGCTGCCCACACACACCTGGGCTCTGTGCATTCTGTCGTGTAAATTCCCCCGTGACGCTCGGTGCACCAGCCCAGGCAGAGTGTTTCCTCAAGAGGCTGTGAACACAGCCTAACAGTCCTCATTGCCAAAGGAGCATCGGAGGGAAGAAAAGCAATTTCACACCTGGATCCTCCTTCTAGGCCCAGTCGACAGGGAGCAGGGAGGGGCTGCGATGGGCGGGTGCAGGCAGTGATGCCGGACCTGGTCCCAAGAGGCAGCACCCCTCGTGAGCCGGCCCACCGCACTCAGAGTGCCAAGGGTTTAGTGTCAGTGCACCCAGGGCCCTGCTCCTGGCAGCCGTCAACAGTGCCACCTCCGGCTGGGGGCACCTGCCACGTGCCTGCCCGCCATCACTCACCCTCCCTGGCGTCCTGCCTCATCAGCATGCCCTTCCCATTGACGAGCAGCCGGGGCCGTGATGCCCCTGGTGGCCGGGCTGGGCCTCGGAGGAGCTGAGGTCAAGCCCTGATTTCCTAACTTGCCCCTTCCTGGTTCTGTCCCCTGGAGAGGCCGGTGAGAGATGACAGTGGACAGTTGCAGGGTTGTGGCTGAGCCCTTGGGAGTGGAGAGGCCTGGGCGCCTGCAGAGAGGTGGTCACTCAAGGCTGACACGGACCCCAGATGAGGCCCAGACTGGGGGAAGGTGACCGGGCTACCTGGAGCCATCCCGGGGACAAAGAACCAGCACCCGAGCTTCGACAGGACGTTCGACCTCTGAGACCCACCCAGGCATCTGCCGGGGCCGACGGGAGATGGGGATGTCCCGGTGGCCGTGACAGCTCCCAGACAACGGCCTCCGAGAGACCCAAACACACAGGTGCGTGCACACGCACGCACATACATGCTTAGGTAAAAAGAACACTCATTTTTACCACCATTTCTAAAAATCTCATTACCCCCGGGCTTCCCTGGTGGCGCAGTGGTTGAGAGTCCACCTGCCGATGCAGGGGACGTGGGTTCATGCCCTGATCCGGGAGGATCCCACGGAGCGGCTGGGCCCGTGAGCCATGGCCGCTGAGCCTGCGCGTCCGGAGCCTGTGTTCCGCAACGGGAGAGGCCACAGCGGTGAGAGGCCCGCGTACCGCAAAAAACAAGACAAAAATATCTCATTACCCTGAGAAAGAGCTCATTTTTCTGCACAGTTTTAGGATTTGTGCCCCCATTTGCCCCAAGGCCCCTAAGACATCACCCACAGCCCCTTGGGGCCTCAAAGTCCCTGGAGAGTGGGGGCTGCAGGGTGGACAGCAGGTGTTGCAGGAAGCACGGAAGGAAACGGTCTGTCCACCCATGGGGTCCTGAGCACCTCGCTGGGAGATGACACACATCCAGGAAATGGCTGGAGGTGTGCATGAGGCTGTACGTCACCGTGCCATCGAATAACACCTGGCCATGTGGCATTCCTGGGCCTCTGGCTGGCAGGTGG